AATATATATATATATATATATATATATATATATATATATATATATATATATATAATAATATATATATATATATATATATATATATATATATATATATATATATATATATAATAATATATATATATATATATATATATATATATATATATATATATATATATATATAGTTATAGATATATACAATTTAGATATATATTGTTAATATCATTATATATCTAGGCAATGTCAGTATGAAAATCAAGTAGTTCTTCGGAAGCTAAATTGTTTTCACCTCTACTGAAATCATTCGTGCGCAATCTACTTGCAAGAAAAATTACTCCACGTTTCAAGTTGATTTCCATATCACTCACTCTATATGATCCAGAATGATATCTTCGGTTTCATCGTCTTCCGTATAGTACTCATCGCCATCATCTGATTGTTCACCGCCTTTCACGTGGTTGTCAGCGTGTGGGGAGGGGCGTTCAGGTCTTCTCTCTTTCTTGAAGCCATGCCTAGTGAGACTACTTTTATAAACAGTCGCTAATCTCCGATACTCTTTAAGCTGTCCAGGACAGAGATCACAGTGGTATTTTATATCTGTGCTACTAAATAACATAACCACATCAAAGTCCCGTGGTGTATCCACGTACTGGTAGTACTCCTGGGTACTAATTTTTAGTATAGAATCGCCCGTATCTTGAAGACGCGAGTCGAATTCATGCACATCTGCAATACTTATGCTCGGCTTCAATGACAAATAATCCATGTTTCCATCAACTTCTGGTAGTTGTAGTATATAACATAGCGCTAGCGCTAGCAATCTGTGTGAACAACTCATCGTCCAACTCGATCTTTATCTGACACATCGGATATTTATGAAATTTAATAGGAAGCACTACCTATTGAGAGATGATTGCTATATTAGCGGAAGTCCCTCGAACTTTCCGTCAGCCGGTGTATATGTATAGTTTTTAAGACCAAGAACATTGAACGAGTGTATAATATCCGTATATTTGATCGTTGTAAAACCTTCAAAATCGTTGCAGACATACAGTGAAGTGTAGTATGTATTTATGCACTTATGTTTTTCAGTTATTTACTGTTGGCTCTGACTCTATTTACTACAAATATGAAAATTTAAAAACACCCAAAATTCATAGCCTACACTCCCCACAGTCCTAACTCCTACACAGCATGTTTGATGTCAGACAGAAGGCTAGGCAAAATTGTATATTTATTTTTTACTATTTATATATGTAGATGACAGGTGGCTTTTAAACATGTAGATGACACGTTTGTACGTATTTCAAAAAAAAAAATTGTATATCTGTGTATAATAGAATACTCTTTGTATTTATTTATTTATACGCTCTAAACTTTGTGGTGGTTCTGAAAACGTAAATATAAAAAGAGGGCAGAACGAAAGCCAGA